CGAACCGAATTCACAATAAGATTTTTCTTTCTTTCTTTCGAGTTCTCTTTCGTTTCCGAATCAAGTTAAATCGATTGTGTATGTTTGATAGAAAAACCATAAAACATGTCCGAGAAATAATTTGTTTTTGAATCTTGTATATCTTAAAAGTTGAAAGTTTTACACAAAATAATATACCAAAAATACTCTTAACTAAACATTATTAAAACAACCCATAAGTAACAGCAACTCCAACACCCATCGCATAGCATAGGTCTTTTCCACTTTCAAAGTCGGGGCAAAGGTCGATGCCAAACTAGAATGTTACTCCGTAAAGTACCAATGACAAAATTTTGGGAAATTTTTTTAATCTACATACTTCTATGTAATTGCACCTAGTGGATGCAAGAATTTAGATTAAGATGGAGAAGAAAAAAAAAAGATTTTGCAATAGTCTAAGCCAATAGGTCATGATATAAAATTTCCTATGAATTTCATAGATTTTGGCGTATATATTGCCATAGAATTGCAGCGAATGGCAGCAAGTAAAGAGGTAGATGTGTGCGGCGTTACCATGGAATTTAGGGATGCGTTTGTTTTGCGGAAAATGGACCGTTTCTGGAAAATACTTTCCAGGAAATCATTTTTCAGGAAAATGAGTTCATTTTTCGGTGTTTGACTAAAACCTAAAAAAAGATTTGGAAAGTATTTTCAGTTGTGTGGTGAGGAAAATCTGACGGTAAAAATGATCAAAATTTTTTGTATTTTTTGAATTATTTCAAATTTATGTTATTTTAAAATTATTTTTATTAAGAAAAGAAAATACATGAATGTTTTCTTTCTTAGAAAGAAAAGAAAAAGAAAAGAAAATAAAATAAAATAAACAATATTAACAAATTCAAGATGAGCAGTTCGGGAAAGTGTTTTCTCCTTTTTAGATTAGAGAATTCACTTTCCTAGAATTAAACATGATATTTGTGTTGACCGGAAAGTATTTTCTGTTGACTAAATCATTTTTGGAGAATCAAATGGATGAAAGTCTGGAAAATACTTTCTGGAAAAAATACTTTCACCAAAACAAACACACCCTAAGTAAGACGGAACAATTAAATTAATATATCCAGTTTTCGCATAACTGAAAAGTGAGCTTAATAGGATTTGTTAATGGCACGGACTTGAGGTTCCGAACGTCGACTTCACGGGATGAGGTAAGTGCCGAAAGGAAGCCTTAGACAGTGTGCGCGTTAATATATTTAGTTGGACACGGTTCCATTCAAAAATCTTAAACAGATTTTAACACCCTGCATTGTTCGAACCGGATTCACGATGAGACATTCCTAATTTCTTGAGTTCTATTTCGTTTCCAAACAAATTGAATTAACATTCTTAGTTTAATTTCCACACAAAAAAAAACATTCTCAGTTTAATAGAAAAACCATATAATATTTTAGTGTTCAGAAAGAACTCAAAATTTGTATTTGGATATCTCATGGAATAGAATCCTTTAAAAGAATTGCAGAATTGGATTACTTAGCACATCTAGGATTCAGCAACTACTTATGTTTTTTTAACCAAAAAATCTAACATTTATTTTAATAACTAAAAAAAATAACAAATTAGAAGAACAGATCTGAAAAATGTTAGCAGAAGAAATACTAAAAATCATAAAAATAAAACAAACAGATCTACACCGTGCTCCTTGCCATTGCCACGGTCGCCGTCGAGGCCGCCACCACGGCTGTCACCGTGACTGTCGCCACCATCGTCATTAGGGGTGATCGGTTCCCGGTCCGGTCCGGTTCTTGATGGAACCGGGAACCGGACCGGGAGGACCGGTTCTCAATTTCTAGGACCGGGAACCGGACCGGACCGATGGTGGTCCAATGGAACCGGTTAATGTAGAAATTCCCCAACCAAAAAATTGATGCAAAGAACCAAAATCAGTAGCAATTCAATTTCTGAAAGCTCATACACAATTCAAGGATATAAACTTGGTGGATACCCCAAATTCATACTAACATCGTTACCGTTGAACAATTTTCTTCGTCACCCACCCAAAGGATCTAATCCTGCATTTCCCCTCTTGGCAACACCATCCAACTCATCCGCAAATATGAATTTCCAGAATCATATCACCATCACAATCATTTGCTTTGAAATCATTGTAATAGAAGCAGCGAAGGAGATTAACAAGGAAAGAGCATGAAATCTCAGCAATGCAAAGACGAGAAAAACTTACTCAAGAGTAAAGACTGAGTTGATGCGAGAGCCAAGAGAAACTTCTAAGAATCGAGTCATGGAAAAAGTGAAGAGCGAAAAGCGAAGCGTGAGGCGAGAGGCCACAAGGGCGAGAGGCCAGACGGGCGAGAGGCGTGAAGGCAGAGGCGAGAGGCATGACCGCGTGAGGCAAAAACCGGGATGGAAGGGCAAGGCCAGAGCGAGCGAAGGGAAATGCGAGCGCAAGGGAAGAGAAACGGCAGACAGGCAAGCCGCGAGCGTGAGGGAAGGAGAAAAGTAATTCCTTTTAGGGTTTTCTAAGAAATGTCTCTCTTTAGAAGATAGAAAGCAATGAAGGCAGGGGAAGCTACTAGCGAGATCTTCATTCTGCTAGGACAGGTCTTGGTGGTTTGGGGCCTTTGGGCCATGGTTTTGTTGAGCATGCGCTCACATAATTCACATTGGCAAGCCCAAGCTAGAGAACACGTCCCCAAGCAAAAAATCCGACTTTGATTGATTATATATATATATATATATATATATATATATATATATATATATTTTGGTTGGCCCGATCCAGGCGGTCCGGTTCCCACCTTGGAACCGGAAACCGGACCGCCCGGACACCGGTTCCACTTTTTGGAACCGGGAACCGGACCGACACTTCCGGGAACCGAACTGAACCCGCCAGTCTGGTCCGGTCCGGGCGGTTCCCGGTTTGGGCGGTCCAAGTTGCACACCCCTAATCGTCATTGCTTTTCCTCTTGGCACGACCGAGCATTGCTACAAGTGACTCTCTTTGTCACTCTGAAAGTCGAGCATGGCCATGGGGGTCACGGAGACTATGGAGTCGTCGAGCCACAACACCATGGTCATGGAGGTCGCCGGGCTCGCAACAACCGGATCTGTGGTCTATGGAGGCCGGCGACCTCCATCGAAGCGAATTGAAGGAGGTCCCAACCTTCATGGCCGCGGCTCGCGAGAGGGCGAGAGGCTGGTGTCGAAGGTGGATGGAGGCGCAATGATGGGGCTACATGGCGGTGATGTTGCGGGTGGCGACGTGGCAGATCTATGTGCCCTTGGTTCGGGGTGGTAAAGAAAATCCTAATGTTAGAACATTTTCATCCAAACAATAGGAAAAAATAAAAGACTGTTTCATGGAATGTGAATGCTTGGAATGGAAATCCATTCATATATTCATTGTCCATTGAACTAGACGAGGCTTCAATGTTCGAATTTACCGTCAGATACTCTCACTCTGTGCCACTGATAAAGCAAAGATTGTGCGCTGGATCGCGCATATAAGCCTCGCCAAACTCCTTTACTTCTTTACGACATGATCTCCGCCAACTTCTTCCGGCGCTCGCTTTCCATTCGACAGACTTATCAGTCCGCATGCGCTCAACAGATCACTCGATAGATAGATGGCGTGCCGGTAATCTTTCGGGAAACAAAGGAAAAAAATGACGCGAAACCACGTTTCATGTGGTGTGGCATATCGTCGTAACTAAGTTCGAGCGTAGGAAGGATGTCATTTCGTCCTCCGCTGATGATTCTCACACATTGCTATCGTCTCTTATCAATGCCCGTCATTGTTGATTGTTCATGAAGTAAGCCCCCCCAAGAGATTTCAGAGCAAGAAAAACTCCGTTACATTTCTCGACGAAATGACAGGCATTCCAAACAATTATGAGCACGATCGTCGTCCTATAGATCGTCAAGCACTGAGGAAAAATTTCTTATCGTTTTCTAAGTATCACAGATGGGTCTATAATTGCTCGATGTGTTGGATATTTAATAGCAACTGGAATTCTGGTCAAGCCTCGACTGATAGAATCTCTCGAGACTTTTTCGAGAGTTTTCTTTAGATCGAAATCATATGAAATGCAAACCCATATTCTGAAATCAAATTGTTCTCGGACCTTTTCGTCGTTGTGCACGGCTTGGCAAGCACGGTTTTGCCTAAACATCCAGTCCAAATTGTTGGAGGGTATGCCGTCCGAGGGTTGGCTCAGGCCACTCTTCGTGATTATGAAAAGCATCAATTTGGCCATTATCTTTCCTTGCCATTGGATAAAAACATTAAGTAGGGAGTCTCAAGAGAGCTTCATGAATTGCAGACGACGAATGCCAATGTCGTCTCATCTCTGGCAGGCGATCGTAATGGCTATACTAAAAACCATCCTGACTAAAATAATTGTTTTGCTTTATAAGCAATGAACTGAACATTAAGGTTTTAATATGGTGCGAGTCAATCATTGGTTCACAGTTATCCTTTTATTTTATCGCTTTGAAGCTAAAAACTAGGATACCGATTTGGCTAAATCTATGGATTGCGGCCCCTCGACCTCATCTTCATCTTCAGGATGTCCAATCTGGGCAGTTCTGAGCGCTAGTGTTATTATGAAATCGACCATGGCGGTGCTGAACTTATGAGGAACTATATAGCATATACAATTATGAGTTCAACTAAAAGTGCTTGAGAGTAAAACTGACAAAGGCTTTCAGCAGATATAATTTTTTTTTTCATGTAATTAGCCTTTGTGCATTTACATTAATGAGTCCACTCTTAGGAGCAAAACGAAAAGAAGAACATAATCATCCTATGTAGGAGTGAGTTTAAACAAATTAAAAACAAAAAAAAATATGGTTTTTAAATGCATTATTCCTAGGAAACTCTTTTACTGGAACAACTTATAAAAAGATTGAATAACTGACACTTATTTACCAAATATAGATTTGATGGTGTGTCCGTGAATGAAAGATATCGTTCTAAGGAAATTCAAATAGAGCCAATGCTTCAGTTGGTCTCACACAATACGAATCGGGCATTTACTCAATAGAGAAATTTGCAATACAAACACAAGCGAATAATATAAAACAACACTCATTCAGGGAAAGAAAGTAAAAGCTACAATATCAATAGCCATTGTTTTCATCACTGGAAATGAAAGAGATTGACGAAGGATTAGCCGAGTGCATGTCCAGATCGTTGTGAAGTTCCACATGGCATGGCAAATAGATCATGGGAGTTCATCTGCACTCAAAGGAAAAAAAAAAGGGAAATGAGCTTGGAATATCTATAATATTGTATTATGGCAGAGATTGTGGTTTCATGTGACATTGTCATTCTTAGATATTCTATTTACAGAGATATTTTCCCTTAATTAGCAAAGTTAACTTTTATATGGATGTAAAATTTCTTTCAACAAAAAAAAACTATGTAGAGTTTTCTGTGTGGCAATTTTGCTTCAAAGGAGAGTGTCTCAATTTTAAAAAAACAATAATATCATGATGAAAGGGAGATGTATCCGATCAACAGGTGGGACCACACTTTTTTTTTCTAAACAACGTGCTAATGGTACTCAAGTAATGAATCTTGATTTATTAGTGACAGGTTACATCAAAATGAAGAGTTCTTATATAATCTCTAATCTAAATCTTAAGATGCATAAACTTTGACATTTTGTTAATTCAAAACATATGAAACTTTCACAATATGTAAATGTTAGCAAGGATATTCGCATCTATTTTTTTTTTCATAATTTTCTGAAACTCGAATAAAATTTCATTGGCTATATTTGACACTCCTACAATAGGTATTAAGCCAAGTGTCTTGCCAACAAAGGTTGTCCCAAAGCCTTCAGATAACGTTGTTCAGACTAGCAATCATTTGCATACTATGCAGGAACAGGATTTGGGGTATGTGATTTTTAATTTCATTTTATTATCTGAGTTACAAATCCTACTTAGTCTTACAAATATAATTGAGTGTGTAGTTTTAAGTATAACTACAATGTTGAAGGCAACGTTATGAATTCTAATCAAACTTAAATAGGATTATTTACTTTAATATAAATTGTTTCTATATAAATACTTGCCTTTTCTCGTTGCAATGTTTTGATTAAATAGTAATTCGACTGAGGAATTAATGCTTATTGTCTTTGGGATTACGAATATTAATATCATGTATTTAATTCGAAATAATAGTTCTTTAATAGTAAGATTCTTTTCAAATTTGATGTCCTCTTATTGGTTGTATTTTGGCAATTTCAAATTGGGTAAAAGTTGCTACATGTGGCAAGTTGGGATGAGAACCTGCAAAGCTTTCAATTTACTATATACTAATGATATTGGGTCAATATGAGATGGTTTATTTATCAGGAAAAAGAGATTGAAAAGTGCCCCAAAGTACTTGTAAAGCCCGGCTAAATGCATTTTGAATACTTAAGGCCTTATTTGGTTCCTCAAAGTTTCCTAAATTTTCATATCCACTTCCATTTGATCGAGAATGAAAAGTCGTTGTGAAAATCCATTTGATTTTTTTGAAAACAATCGTCAACTTAAATTGAGAAAAACTGTTCTCGAATTAAACCTATAGACTCAAAATAACGATTCAATGTTGTCCGTGCTTTCAATCCAAATGAAACATGGAGTTTTGGAAGACCACCTATTTTACAATCTTGGTGGAATATAAGTACGTACTCCATGTAGCACTCCAAAAGAAAACCGTCACTTTTGATTCAAAATTTTAAACTTGCTTCTACTTTTTCTTTTAATAAAAGGATACATGAAAATTATAAAAATTTCTGCAATTAAAGGAGTTGTAAAGTTTCTTATATAGGTGGCTTTCTAGTAAGTGAATTTGCTTCAATAAACTTCCAAATATTTCACAATTTCTTTTTGATACGGCCAGTGAACGTAACTAGTGCTTTTAGGACATTCGCAACAGATTCATTTGATTAAAATATATTCAACGACCAATGACGATGTGAACATGGTTGAGTAATAAAATTTAACATAGCTTCTTCAACAATAATCATCAAAAGATAAAAATTTAAGCTTCAAAAAGTTGCATCAGATTCGAATTTCTAAAGTAAAAGCGCAAAACGAGATTCCATTATTAGGGAATCAAGTTTTACTTTCAACACGGCAGATGGTACAGAGAAATTGGGATTTGTCTAAAAAATTTCCCTAGCATAGAGTTAATTAAAGATGTCAATATTATGTGCATAATGCATTGTCAACGAGGGAGTAGGGATTAAAAAAGAGTATAAGAAAGGAATCTCAATATACGGCTATATTATATCTACGAGCGAAGAAGAAATGAAGGGAGATGATTATAGATGCGTACCTAAACATCCGTCCATTGTATTTTAATCGAATCAAGTTGAATTCGAGGAATGTGAGCGATTTTGTGCCAATCCTCGCCGGTTAGTGGCTCACATCTTTTGCTTAGTTCACCACACTGTTCTATGCGTAACTCTTTGAGGGCAGTGAGGGACCGGATTCGTTGCGGCATTGATGATAAGTTGGGACATTGGAACAAGCGAATTTCCCTAAGACGTGTATGATTGGGCAGCCATTCGGGTATAGCCGTGAAGCTCGGGCAATCATAGATGCAAAACGATTCCAAAATGCAGGCAGATTCATCGAGACACTGGAGCAGCTCCATCACTTGTTCGAAATTTGTTATTGACAGTACACGAAGATGTGACGGAAAGCTGGACTTTATCTCCGGGATCAACATGAGCGGGCAACTAATAATGGTCAACCACTCTAGGGAGATTAATTCCTTAAAAGGCAGAGATGTTAGTCTCCCACAATGTCGAATTGCTAACTTCCGAAGGCAAGTCAGTCGGCAAGTACCTTCAAACAAAACTTGGAGATTTTCACATGTGTCGAGTCCCAATTCCTGCAGGTTTTCTAGATATTGTATTCCGCTTTCTTGCAGACTCTTCTGCTTTGTTGTTAAATATAGGTATCTAAGATTGACGAGCCTTTCCATATTTTTGGGTAACTTGCCTAGCTCCGAGCAACCACTCAGGTCCAAACATAATAAACTCTGCAGCTCGCAAATGGTATATGGAAGCTTCTTTAACCGCTTATTCTCCTGGAGATCTAACGATCTCAATTGCTTCAAGTTGCATATGGAACTTGGTAGCTCCTCAAAGCTACCATATGACAAATCGAGAATCCGTAAGTGCTTACACTTGGATATGCACGTTCTAGCAAATTTTCTACTAATAACTCCATCACCAACTATGTATTGAAATATAATTGCGCGTAGCCTCTTTGAAGTTTTCTTTCTCAGAAAAGGTGAAACTCCATCGTAGTTTGAGATTGCCTCTAACGAAGCAGTAGCGATCGAAATGTACCGAACTCCTTCTGAAATCTCTAGAGTATGCAAGTCAACAATAGAGCAATAATTTTGTCCCACACTAGTTGCAAGAGAATTGACCAAATCGTGCACTTCAAATACTAACTCTGAGTCCCACTCCTCGACATCTTGGATCAAGGATCTCCTCCACAACTCTTTCACGTATTCAACACCAACGTCTTCCGGTGCTAGTCTTTCCCTTGTTGAACTAATGAGACCTAAAGCCATCCATAGCCAAGTTAATCTCGCGGACTCAAGTTTTTCTCCTCTGGGCAAAAGTGATAAGATAGGAAAACATTGTTTTAAGTGGGATGGTAAATCATCATAGCTAAGCTTAAGGACCGGTCGAATGTCCTTTTCTACTTCCACCAACCCCCATGTTTTGCTATCTCTTACATATGCCCAATACTTTTCTTCGTCCTTCGTGCGAAGGAGACTCCCCAAAATTATCACAAGTAGAGGCAGTCCTTGTGATTGTTTAACAATATCATTTCCAATCTCAATGAGTTTGGGACGAGGTTCCTTTTCCTTTTCGTCGAATGCCCATTTTTTGAATAAGACCATAGAGTCTTCACGAGAAAGACTTTCTAGCTTATGAGCTTGATGGGTACCCATTATAGAAGCGACTTCCGAGCTACGTGTTGTCACAATTATCTTGCTTTCACTAGCCCCTACGCTTAGCAAATCTCTCAATTCTTTCCATCTACGGCGGTCATTGCTCCATACATCATCCAAGACAAGTAGATATTTTTTGACTTTGATGGTTTCTTGCAAACGAGTTTGCAACTGTTGAATGTCAAGGTTACTCAAACTTTGACTAGTTGCATCTTTAATAATTCCTTCAATGATTTTCTTTAAATCGAAGTCCTTCGGCACACTTACCCATAGTCGCAACTCAAATTGTTCTTTCACACTATCGTCGTTGTAAACTAATTTAGCTAGGGTCGTCTTGCCCAAACCTCCTATTCCAACAATTGGAATCACCGAGAGGTTTTTGTCACCTGGCCGCATCAACATCTCAATTATCTTTTTTTTATCAATATCTCTTCCGACGACATCTGACTTGTTTATGAACGAGTAAGTCATCTCTTGTGATCGAGTATGTGCCACACCATTGTCAACACTCTGCACATTAAGATCGAATTGATCTTTCTGTGTGGAAATTCTGGATAGCCTCTCCTGAATCTCCTTGATTTCATGACTGATTTTCGCACGGAACATGAGTGGATTCGAGAGGGAAAAGAAGCGGCGTACCTTCCCTTTGATGCCTCCATAGCGACTTATAACCTGCTTCCGCAAGACTTCACATTCGAGTTCATCGAGCACATCCTCCGCATCGTAAAATACATGTTGAAGCCGATCTAACCACACTTGCAGACGGTCGCTCTTCGCCTGCTGTGCCTCAGCATCTGACACCACGGACTTAATGGCAGTCAACGTCTCCCTAAGCTCGCGGATCTGATCTTCAACGCTGTAAATAGCCACGGCTTCTTGGAGCGCCGGCGACGCTATTTTCCCCAACACGCTCTCTGCGATGCTGAAAAGGAGTGACTCGGCCATGCCGAGTGATGAGGAAATCGATTCTGGTCGCTTGCTATGAGGCGAGAACGAACACACAATGTCTTCCTCTCGAGAGTTAGCAGCTACTATGATAACTTCCTTACAATTGGATGAAGGGGAGGTATTCACCTACCTTTCAATATGGACGAAAAGGACCGGTGCCTGCGGGTCAAAGGAAACATGCTTTCCACCTTTTCTTCATCTAACTTTCCTGGGACCAATATAGATCGAGATTAGTTCAAAGATCTAAACAGGGTGTCTTCCGAGCGTCTGTTGTGCTCTTTACTTCTGTACATAAGTTACCTAAAAATATTTGTACATGTCGCTTAAAATAATTAGTCGATAAAAAATTCTTTCATAATTAATAACAATCTATCCCTAAGCATTTTCATTGATGATGAAAATACATTTTAGTCAATTCAATTTTTTAAGCAATATAAGCGAATCACTTTTAATCAGGAAAATATTTTCTAATATTTTTCGCGAAATAAACGTATCATCAATGCACAAATATCTTTTACCCACTTTATACGGTTCTCTCGGCATTTCATTTTAGGGATGATCTTGAATAATAAGGGGGGATGGCTGTTATGAAACTCTTCCACATGAATATCTCAAATGTCGGAGTAATTGTTCATCTATCAGACATGTAATACATTGCCGCAAAAACAGTGCAAAAAATTAAGCCTCGGCTTGATCATGCTTAAAGTTACTAAACGCTATGTGATTCGCTTCCTGACCTTTGAACTAGTCAGTTGGAAAACGATAATGAATGAAAGGGGCCAAAAGAGTTTTAAGAAAAGGGAAGGACACGTTTTCCATCAATATTCGTCCTTGATCTTAACCACAACAATAGTTCACCTAGGAGCTTCTTTTATATAATTGTAGTCTTGGGCTCCGTTCGTTTGGCGGAAAATATTCTTCCGGAAAATATTTTCCGGGTTTTCCGGTGTTCGGAGGGCGGAAAACGTTTTCCGTGGGAAAATATTTTCCTTCCCCCCTCACAAAATAGCCTAAGTCTATGGAAAATGACTTCCGCTTCTTCAAAAGCGGAAATCATTTTCCGGAGCTTCTTCTTCTTCACTAAGGTCGCCGACCGCCGCCGCCGGCCGCCGCCGCGATCGCCGGCCGCCGCCGCCGTCGCCGGTCGCCGCCGCCGCCGCTGCCGCCGCCGCCGCCGCCGCCGCCGCCGGACGCCGGACGTTGGCCGTCGGTAGCTGGCCGCGCTGCCGCCGCCGCCGGTCGCTGCCGCCGATCACCGGTCGCCGGCCGCCGGTCGCCAGCCGCCGGCCGATGCCGCCGGCCGCATCCGCCGCCAGCCGAAAAATATTTTTCGAAACTTTTTCATATTGGTCGTAGAAACAGGAAAATTATGTTGGAAAAATATTTCAGGAAAATGAGGAGAAGGCTTTTGTACTTAGAAGGTTGTTCGATGATTTGGTAAAGAGGGTGGGTGGGATCGCGATCGACTAAAAGGGAAGTCGGCACTATCTTCTGAAGCCCTTTTCAGGAGAAGGATGGGGCTAGATCACAACAGACATCTTTCGGCCACCCATCTTGATAAGGCCGCCGCCGGCGAAAAATATTTTTCGAAACTTTTTCATATTGGTCGCCGAACACCGGAAAATTATGTTCCGGAAAAATATTTTCCAGGAAAATGACTTTCGAGAAAATATTTTCCAAAAAAGAGAATATTTTCCGCCAAATGAACGAAGCCTTAGAGTAAAATCTTTGGAAACTCTAGAAAATGGATAGATAATTTAACCCTAACAAATATCATGAGCTGCTTCTTTTTTTTTTTTTGGCCTTTTGTTTTTTGATGAGGGGTTTTTCAGAGTGATTGATTGATGAAACTATTACAATGTACGTTATCCGCCATTAAAGGCAAAGGCAATAATTAAAGTGGTTTTTGAGGGTGGTCATTTCAGCCTTTTCCCATGGCTTTATGTTGAATTCAGGCCCACTTTTGTCCATGATGCTTTTCCCAAAAGAGAGAGCGTTAAAAGATGCGAAAAGAGATTTCGGTGGAATTGCTTTAGCGGATTCCCTCCAAATTAGATAGCGACCCGAGAGTTATTGACCGGCTCATAATAGTTCTGTCCCTATACTTATTGATGTGGTCCCAACAAAGGAAATATCGACCTCCAAGGTCCAGTGTATCTGATTGATTGACTCGAGACAATTTCAACAATCTTCTTTAGGTAAAAATCGTCAATAATGCATACCCACATTCAGATGCAGGGGTAACAACGGAGCTTCATGAACCGCACACGGATGCCAACGAGCAGGCGGTCGTAATGACTATACAAAAAACCTTTCCGTCTGAAAGCATCATTATGTTATATAAGCAACGGGCTGAACATTAAGATTTTCATATGGCGCAAGTCCATTAATAGTTCTTCTACGACATATGAGTCAATATTTATTTTTTTGTTTTCCTACTTTCAAGCTGAAGATCCGTTTCAGCTTCGAATGATACCGAGTTAGCTAAACCAACGAAGTGAGCCCTCTCGAATTTGTCATTCTTTGATATTACGTTTGCCATGATATTTTGCATTAGTTAGCTAAATTAAATTTTATATGGATATAATTTTTGTTTTCAATAAGAACTGATGTAGAAGATTTTGTTTTATATAAAAGTGTTCTTTTAAATAATAATATCATTCTGTTTTTTAGGGACTTAGGCCCATTTTTAGATGGTTCTCTCGGCATTTCCTTTTTAGGGATGATTCAGAATAATAAGAAGTTTATGAAAAGGATTGCTGATCAAACCGGATGGAAATGTCAAGTTGGCATCCTAAAGAGATCAATAAAAAGAAAGACTGGAACAACAAAAGAAGAAATGGCGGATGAAATTGATTTTCCGAGGAGGGAATGGGCTAAAATGGTGGATGAAATTGATTCTTGGCTATTTGGCTTGAGAATTGGATGGTCTAAACAAGAATGTCTCAATATCTACATTTCATATTAGTATCAGTCCTTTTTTAATGGACGATTCCACGTCAGTGATGTTAGCAACCTGAATATAATACCCGGTAGCTTGCTAATTATTCTCTGTCAAGGGATATAAAGTTCATATTTAAAATGTATATATTGCTAATCGTATATTGTTAATTCATGCCCATTCGGTACAACTGACGACGCCTTGTCGTGACTCTATGATGACCGTGCCGTGGCGTATGAATATCACTATTCAAATGTATATTAAGTATGTTACTAGTTTTGTTTTACAAGTAGCACATGTGCCGTTGATTTAAAGGATAAAAGCAACCAATCAAAGACGTCTTTGAACTTTGGAAGAGAGATCATCGCATTATCATTTACTGCGATCATGCTCTAATAGTGGGACAACCGAGAAATTTTGAATTTTTTTTCTTTTTGCTGAACATCACAATATTGAAATTGTTCAATGGGAACCGTTCCATGGCTTCAAATCGCGTTTAAAATGAACGATTCCACGTCAATGATGGTAACGACCCGAATATAATACTCGGTGGGTTGCTAATTATTCTCGATCATGGGATATGGTCAACGGTCAAAAAAATGTATAGTATACATTTGCTAATCGTTTATCGTAATCCACGCCCGTTCGGTACATTTAGCGATGCCTTGTCGCGACTCTATCGTAGTAATTGAGAGAGACAGAGCGGGAGAGAAAGTGGGGGACAGAGGGAGAAAAGGAGGGAAAAGTGAGAGAGAAAGAGGAAAGGAGAGGAGAGAAGTAGAGAGGCACGTGCGAAAGAGAGAAAGGGAGGAGGAAGAAAACAGAAGAAGAAAAGAAAGAAAGAGAGAGGAAACTGAAAGGAAAGAAAAGGACGAGGGAGGGGTCAAATGAGTCAGAAAGAAAAGGTAAGGAGGAGAGAGAAAGAGAGAGGCGGGACCACGAAAATATAAGAGGGAAGAGGAGAGTGAGCTGCGAGATACCGAAAGAGAGAGGAGGAGAGCTTGTGTGCAAATGAGCGATTTTCGATGAAAATTAACTGTGATAACTATGTTGGGATTGTGCAAAATTTATGATTAAATTAGTAAAACTGTAAAAGTTTAGAACTGAATTGACATCGCATATTTAATTTAAAATTAATTGAACAATTTCTCTTTTCATATAGTTGCAGAAATTTTCCTACTCATAATTATTTTGTTATGGACTTAAAGACGACGAATGGAGTAGGCAATTGAAGTCATTATTTTATCATTCCCTCTCCCTAGCAAATGTGCTCAAGCGCTGTGTGTGCGCGCACCAAATTGACATTCGAAAGATTAAGCAAAGATTAATTTTTTCACGACGTATTTGATTTATTAAATAATGGATATAGATTATTGATAAATATACACAATACGAACAATGCGCATAAATATCTATGGAAGGAGAAAAGGACTTTGAGATTTGAAATCTTGCTAGGAAAGCTGTTGTGGGATCGAAAAATATGTAAATCTTTTAATATTAGAAAGTGAGAGATAAAATAAAATTATAAAATTATTCATTTTATCGTGGACACATATTTGTAAAATAATAATTAAGGATATTTGAGTGAAGAAAGAGCAAATGACTGAGATCCCTTAACAATAGGAAGCCCTCTTTGATTTACAAAAGCCCCCCATCTTTTGTTGAAATTGCCTTTTAAGAGTTTGTCGTAGTTTAACCCCCTCTCCAGGACTGGATATGCTTGGGACTTCCTTTAGATAAAGAAACTTTAGAATCTTTTTGAGCAGAGGATATGCTTTTCTTGTCCCCCTGAGTGTCGGATTTTTTACGGAATTACCTACGTTTCTCCAAGAGTTTTAAAGCTACAGGTGTTCAAGTAATTTTCTTGCCTTTTATCTTTTAACTTCCTGTTAAGTGACAGCTCATTTATGCACTAATTGTCTTCTCTGCTCGTCTGGGGGGTTTTATGCATCCTGTGACCATTTCATCTTCTTCCCGCTGGAGTGCAGGATAATTTATGCATGTCAATTTTAGATCCACACCCTGTTAAAAGACGTGAAAGCTTTGGCAGGTTCTCTTTCCCATATCTCCATTTCATTGTCATTTTAGATCCACACCCTTTTGAAAGGATTGGGAAAAAAAAAAATGGCTGCCAGTGCAGACATTCCAATGCTGGTGTGTGGGAACTCCTATTCAGTTCCTAGAAGGGGTTTATTGTAATTATGATGGGAAAATGAATCAA